GACGAATTTCGTAAGAAACGTCGGTTAACCTTTCAGATAAAATCTCACGGAACCAGGAACAGGCATCTGAGATGAAACAGGCGTCTTCTCGTGACGGGACACGAAGAAGCAAGGAGAACTACCTATTCGAAAGACGTTTTGCTTTTCTGTCCCGAAGAGAAAGGGAACCGCTTGCTAGCGAGCGAAGTCTAGCGATCACGTTCCTCGAACCGATCGTGCGAGCAACAGTTTCGAACGGAGTTATCTTACCTTTAAATGTAAAGGTGCGATCAGAACTTTGGTTCGAGTTTCCACCTCGTTACACGATAATTATAACTTCAGCTACGTTCTGTTCTTATCGATCATCGTGGGAATAATTGGGTCACCAGGGAACTAAAAATTTTTGTTTCGGAAACATTATTGTGAATGTGGAATTTTCACGTTTACATTTTGTGAGGGAATGTAGATGAATAAAATTGAACAAAATTTTAGAAGAAAATGTAGATAAATAAAATTGAACAAAAGTTTAGAAGAATATGTAGATGAATAAAATTTAACAAAGTATCATAAGAAAATGTCGATGAATAAAATTGAACAAAATTTCATAAGAAAATGTAGATGAATAAAGTTGAACAAAATTTTAGAAGAAACTGTAGATGAATAAAATTGATCAAAATTTCATAAGAAACTGTAGATGAGATTTTGGTGCACTTTTTTGAAATTAGGTTCAAATTTGAATTCAAGTAAAAACTAGGAAATGTGTTTATCACCATGGATTGCGCAAGTGTTATCACACAAGAGGAAACGTCAAATGATAATGAATTGTGAATTGTGAGACTGGAATTCGTTTGATAGGAGGGAATCGTAATGGTAAATCATGAAATTGAAGAACCATTTGTTAAGTGTGTCGAGATCGATACAGACCTTCTATGCGACAAATGTCCCTGAATCTAACTGTGTCTACAAGATGGGATCAGACTTGAGTCTATTTAGCTATGAAAATCGTGTATGATTCATTTTTCAAATTTTTTACTATTTTTTACTATCTTTGCAGTTAGCGTAATTTAACTTGTAAATAAATTAGTCAACAAATAAACTTGAAAATAATTATGCAAGATTCTGAAAATAATTATGCAAGATTCTGAAAATAATTATGTAATTGATTGTAGCTTGATGACAAAATGATCACATATTTTACAAATTCACATATACAATTTTAAATTTAAAGAATAATTGAATCTTTACTATATTTTTGCTAAATTGTTTAGTTCTCTGTAACAGAATTTGAAAATAAAATACACTGAAATAAAATACAAAGGGTAGTTATGAAAATTTGAAAATTTAATTATCTATTAATAATTAATCTATAAATATACCTATACCAAATGTATTATACCAAAAATGTATTATTACGATAATTAGTATTTATAAATATGTGATGTTTAAGTTAAAGGTACACTGCACAGAGATGTGACAAAAATTGCGATACGACCTCGGACAACCCTCGCATTTCACCTGACCAAGGCAATAAATCAGCCAAGATGGAGAGTTACCGTACGACCTTAAAGGGGCAGGTTTGAGCTGGATTAAACTCTGTTCTCATCGACTGAATATTCTCACACCGTTCTCTATACTCTCCGAACACCTTATACAAAGGAATTCCCATGAACATTACTGAATCAATTATTTGACCAACTCGAAGACGTGTACTCATGTACCACGTTGTTCATAAAAGGATTTTACTTTCTACGCTTTCTCTATTGATGAAGCTCAATCGAGTGTAATCGGACATTTTCACCATATAATTCCATGATATTGACCTTAACTTGAACTTTCTAATAAAAATATTCGAGCACAAAATCGATTAAACAGAAGCAAAATGAAAATTATAAAATTAAACAGAGATTGAAATTTTTTAAAGACAATTTTTCATAAATGAGAAAAATATTTTCAGACACTTTTAATTATTAAAAAAAAGTTCCAAGAATTAAATATTTAAAAGTAACACAGTAATTTAAAATAACTCGAAAAGAATATCTAAAATTAAATTTAAATTATCGCAGTATCAGCAGTTCGCCGTTTCAAGGTTAAATTCGTGACCTTTCCGAGTATCTCGCTTCGAAATTTTCCAAAGTTTCACCGCAGGATAAAAAAGCGTCCATAAACTGTACGGTAATATTGCTTCATAATGTTCACATATCCAACTAACAGAAGAACGTTAACAGTTAACGGGACAATGAAACGTGAATAAGTGCTGGCGATTATACAGCTCGAGAGTGTACGATCGGTATTTCATGTTCAGGGACACCAAACAAACGTTTCGATGTGACAGCCTCTTGTCAAGAGCAGTTCGCACACAACAATCGTTATCGTGTACATCGACCTAGCTGGTGATCATACCCGGTTTCGAACGTGGAATTTAGGTCTTGTAACTCCGTGCTTTACTATTGATTTCTGTCTGCAAAAAGAAATTTGACATTCAACAAAATCTGACTCATCTCGCAGCTGTTTCAGAAAACTTATCGATTTCAAAGTTATCTTTCGAGTTATCGGGTTGGTAAATGATTCTCATGAAGATATCACACAATGTCTTTATTTGGAAATTTTTCATTTTAGAACAAAAGATCTTAAATGTCGAACGTGTAACATATTGCTTTTGAACGTGTAACATATTGCTGTTGAATGTGTAACACATTGCTTCAAGTTCAGAAGTTACATCATGTGTGTAAATAAATATGAGTCATAGCTCACGATTAACAATGTTTTGTCGAATATAATTAATTGCCTATCGTTAAGCATGGACTAGTTTTCTTTAAGGAGATTGCACACTTAAGAGCATTACAAATCGCTTGCATATAAAGTTGAAGAAGCAAAACACTTCTGGTGAAAGTCGTAGAGCCAACCTGAGAAAGACACCTTCACTTCGAATCGATGATGCGTACCTTCCTAACTAATTGGAGCAATATATTGTTCGAGAGAACAATTAAGTCTATCGAGAAGAAAGTTTCATTTTGCAAAACATTGTGATATTTGTGTGATGTTCAGTTTGTAGCAAGGCTCTTTGGAAAATGAAGGTTCACCGTTTTCTGTTGATTGTTTCTTTGTAATTTGGAGATTTGGGGATTTGGGAATTTGAGAATTTGGGAGTTTGAGAGTTTAGGAGTTTAGGAGTTTGGGGGATTGGAGATTTGGAGATTTGAGGGTTGGTTATTTTAGAATTTGGAGATTTGAAGAATTAGACACTTGGGAATTTGAGAATTTAGAAGTTTGGAGGGCTGGAAGTTTGAAGGTTTGAGAGTTTGAAGATTTGGAGGTTTGTCATTTCAGAATTTGGGGATTTGAAAAATTAGACACTTGGGAATTTGAGTATTTGGAAGTTTGGAGGATCTAGGGTTCGAGGGGTTGGAGATTTGGAGGTTTGAAAGTTTGTTATTTTAGAATTTAGGGATTTGAAGAATTAGACAATTGGGAATTCGAGGATTTGGAAGTTTTGGGGTTTGGTGTTCCAGGGTTTGAGAGTTTGAAGATTTGATGGTTTGATAGTTTGTTATTTCAGAATTTAGGGACTTGAAAAATTAGATATTGATATATTTGCAAGTCTGAGAATTTGGAAGTGAAAGAATTTCATTTGGAATTTTGACATTCGGCAATTTGACAATTTGAGGATTTAACTAGTTTGAAGTTTAACTAGTTTGAAGATTTGAAAGTATATGAATCTGACAATTTGAAAATTTGATAATGTAAATATGTGCGAATTTGATGTAGAAATGTGAAGCTTTGAAGCCCCAAAAAATTGCACATTCAGAATTCAGAGATTGAGGACCCACAAACAATTTCCTAATATCAACATTCAATTCAACAATTTGTAATTTAGCACATATAACACGTATTTACTTGTCCATCCAACACACATTCACTCGTCCCCAAGTTATTTAAAGTACAAAAGATATTACGTTTCTTCCGGCACAAAGTTCTTGAACGAACGAGTAGATTGAAGGAGGAACACAATATCATGAACAAACTGAAAATCGATAGAATCTCGGCCAATCTACTTACACCAGCTGTTTACTTCGAAGCGATAAACCAATCTCTGCAGTTTTTATAAAAAAAAGGAAACATCAAAGAAAAAAATGGGAGGATCTCCGGAAACCTTGAACACTGCGAAATATTCCGAGTATGTTTACACGCCGTCCTCGGACATTTGCACGAAGACCTTCTTCAAAGCAGTATACTTTCGTTCAAAACAGGCAACAGTATCGTTGTACGAGATGTGAACAATTTCATCCAAGTGCACGTTCTAAACCGCACTTCTTTATATAACTAGATGGCGAAACAACAAAGCCTTCGGGTCTTAAGAGAATTGCCGACTGTAGCACGCAAGAATCGTCATCCTTTAACCCTTTGCAATTTAACGTGCAGAGTGACTTGTTTCTTTCGAGCAAATCACTTTGCAAATACATATTTCCTTTCTTAATCATTTCGCAAACAAATTTTGCTTTTAAAATGGGAGGGTGAAGGGAAGAAGTTAAAATTTTCGAGTTTCTTGTTCTTCAAAGGTGTCACTTTTTTTATGTTAATTTCAGTAGGGTGGTTTGAGAATGTTGGTGCCTAAATTTGGGTTCAGTCAGAATTGACCTGGTGACCGGGGGTTAATTATAATGCAGTCTCCTTACATTGCCACTTTTACGAACCTTCGCACCCCAGTTCATTACATATAGCTTCAGATATCGTTTCAACGACTGATACAATTATCAATTTCAAGTATATTACCTTCAATCACATTCTACAGTGATTAGACATCACCAGTTAATTATATTTTTGTAATCTTTCAATCAGCAGTAAAATCCAAAGTATTCTAAAAATGAGAACCAGATCAGTTGGAAAGTATCAGTCTTCCCTCGATCCACAAAACGGCAATTAGAAATGTCAACAGACATTCTCGTCACGCTGTTGCTAAACCAGTTGGCCAGTTTGAAGAACTGGATCCGAAGGAACGGCAGACTGTGAACTAGTTTTCATACCTTAACGTATAACTCCCTCGTAGTCATCGTCGTTGGGTCCAGGTGGTCACCTGGGTCAGGTCAGGTACGAGCGAGGAGAGCACCCACAGGCACACACACAGGACTTCACTCTCACACACGCACACACCTGAGCCACGGATAAGAGTACCTACGACATTTGTCGTCCAATCGAATGTCGTGCGTTACGAGCACCGTGATTTTCCTACGACTATACAATACATCCTGGTGTCAAGTCGTGTTGCGGTCACGGCATGTTTCTGTTTGTATTTTTTTCGTCTTCTTCTACTTGCTGCTGTCTGATTCCTCAACTATAACTACTTGACTTCGAAGGGGCAACCGATCGATGGACCACCGTATCACCCGCACGTTTCACCCTCGTTACCGTTCGAGAAACACTTTCTTCGAGGTTTATTCTCTTTAATTTTACGGTTTAAAACATCGACGATGGACCAGCTGGAAATGGATTTTCGCGAAGGTCGTACGTGCACGTAAACGTCGTACGACGGCACTGCCACCAGCTGGTTCGTTATCGGGTTTAGATTCGGCGCCCCTCTACGGCTCTCCGCTCGAATACTCTTCGGCTCGAAACCCGAAGCGCCGTCTCTTTCAGATTTTAGGCTTCGACAAGCTTCCTCTCGCTTCGACGATCGAACTACAGGTTCCGCGCCATCTTGTGCTCGATGAGAGAAACAAGATGGAGCCTCGTAGACCTTCGTCTCGCGTTTTTAAAGAAAATACGAGGCTTTCGTCACTTTTATTGCATTTCGTGGATTCTCTTTTTCCAATAATTTATTCTCTCACTTTTCAGAGTATTATATACCACATACATCGGACAATTCGATTTTTATGAAGACTTTAGAGACGCTCGAATGCACCAAAGAATTTTGAAATTTTAAACTTTCTTAATTGGTCGTACGCGTTTCTTTAAAACTTGTTATACGGGTTATGTTAACGTACAAACAGTAGAAAATCAATAATTTGCTGGATATGTTTGGAGGAAGTCGATAATTCGCAACCATCCCTGAACTTAAATTTCGGTTGTTAAGAGCTGTGTACAAATTTTCTGATAAATAATAGATTAAAAAGCAGTGAAAGTATTCAATAAATGACAGATAGTTTTTTTCGTTCGTTGACTTCAATCGTTAGCGCCAATGGCGTTGCAGTCTTATTCCAGATCAATGTGCGTTTGCATACAATTTATTGCATAAATTTGCAAGCTATGAAATTTCATACAAAAAATTTCAGTTTAATAAAAATTATTTATCAGTTTAAGTATATTTTACTTTATTCTAATTTTCTTTTCTTGTAAGTGCTCGTATGATACGTTATCGACAATGTAGTTACGTAACAATATAAGCATCACATGTTTTAAAGTATTTATGAAGTCTAATACGATTCTTGTTATATTGCCCTCTTGGTATCATGAGAATCTTCTATAGTCAACTTCAATTTATTGCTGCTTCCGGAAATATATCGAGACATCGATATTATTCGATAAGAACAAAGCAAGTCGCGTGTATTCCCGTCCCAAATGCCGTGTCCTCATCACAGTAACATATTAGCCTTATAAATCAAACTATCACGAAAGGAAATTAATTTCAGTTACAGTTAGCCGTATGATGTATTACTGACAGTTCGATCATGGCATTTTTCCAGTTAGTTCTTAAAGCCAGGAAGCTAGAAAAAGCGAGGTTAAAGTACGAGGAGGAAAAGTTTACGTCGATCGAGATCTGGAAAAGCGGTGCCAAGCCTAAATACACTTTGAGACAGCGAATTCGACGAAAGAAAATCCTGTGAGAAAATTCATTCTCACTCTTTCTTTTACATGAAAAAATATGACAGCTATAAAAATTCAAGCTATACGACAGGTTAAAGAAAAAGTTTAAGAAGTTTCTTGACAAAATCCTCGAGGTACCGAAGGATTCGTGGTTGTACAAGAAAATAGTTGTAATTCGCACCGAAGGCACTTTGGAGAATTTCGTAGCGAAGAGCCTTTTCGGTTTTATTAGCGGAATATTTCTCACGTACATGTTCTTCGTGTTCTTCGTCTTTCAATTAAATTTCAAGCTATCGTCCGCGACGACAATTTGCACGATAATAGGAGTGATCCTCACGCTCGGTCTTGCTTTCTCTTATCGAATACGGTATACTTTCTTATCATTCTTTCCAATTTCGTGTGCCACGGTGCACGGTTCCGAGTGTTTTCTTTTTTCCTGTTCGTTCCACTTTCCAGATGCGTCGTGCTTCTTTTGTTGCCACAGTTTTTTTCCAAACGAGGAAGACAAGCTTTGATGGCGTACGCTTTTATTTTAGCCTTAACTGGGCCGGTGAAGAACATTTTGCACAACACTGGTGTGCTCACGGAATCGTTGGCCTGTGCACAAGTACATTCACTTCCAAGCATAAATTCTACAATTACATTATCTTAGAATAGGACTAGTTATCGATAGTGACATTAATTTCTATCACAGATCATTTAAATTGCATTATATAATATTTAAATCTTGATAACCTGCTAGATAAATGGTAGTCACTGGTAGTTGTTACATATGGTACTCTCATGCTCATATGGTACTCATATGATTAGTTATTGTATGGATAGTGTTTGACATTAATTTTTGTCACACATCGTTTAAATTGCACTATTTAATATTTAGTGAAATCTTGATAACCTGCTAGATAAATGGTAGTCTGGTAGTTGTTACATATGGTACTCACATGATGCTCATATGATACTCATATGGTTAATTATTGCATCGATAGTGTTTGACATTAATTTCTATCACGCATCGTTTAAATTGGATTATTTAATATTTAGTAAAATCTTGATAACCTGCTACATAAATGGTAGTCTGGTAGTTGTTACATATGGTACTCCCATGCTCATATGGTACTCATATGATTCTCATTCCGGTCTTCAAAAGAGTGAAGTCAATAATTGTCAGCCCCGCCCCTAAAGCCCTCGACGTAGGAAAATATTGATCCATGCTTTAATGCCTTTGTAGGAACAATTAAAAGAAGCGGTGAAAACTGTCATAGATCTCGCTAAGCAGCCATTTTATGCGCTGCGAGACGCCATATCGAAAGTCCTGAAGTCCGTAAAAGGGGTTGTAAAGAAAATTAAGCAAACCCTCGTTGCTATTAAGAGACTCGTCCTCAGTATACGTAAGCTTAATATTTAAATGACATATCGGAACCCTATGTATTTAGTCAGAGTAAAAAATTAAGTTTCTTAAGAATTCTGTAAAGATACCAATATATCTGATTTCCTAACTGATACCCTATCTGATTTCTCCAGTTAGGGTAATCACCGCAGTATTCCAATGGCTCGGCAGTATAATAAACATCTGTAACAAGAAACTAGGCACACCTTTCGATAGATGTCAAAGGGTGTTCGAGGGCGCCGTAGCGGATTGCAAAGCAAAGTTAGGACCCTATTTAGGCGTTGTTTGCAACATAACTTACGTAGTCAGCGCCCTGTGTTACGTAGTCAAACCCCTGGATTTCATATGTATGTTAGTTTCTTACGTCGCTGACACTGTTGTTGGAGCTGTACGATCAAGTAAATATTTTTCGAAGATTAGCACATATATAAATACATCATTTCCGTCATTCAATAATATTGCAGAGATTAAGAAATTCACGATGCACATGAAAGCAATGTTCTACGTCAAAATCAAATTTTCTCACTCCTTCCATTTCGAGACTAATCAAAGCAAAACCGTACAGGAAGTCGCTACCAGCATCGCTACGGAAATCCGATCGAGAACGGATGGACTTTTCGGATTTTTCGATTGGATGAGCTTTGTAACGTCCTTCTTCAGTTTCTGCATTTTACTCAGGTAACAATCCTGTTCTCGCTGATAAATCAGAGATCATCTCCAAGTATTCCACAGAGTGCTGCGTTATCGCTACAAGTGGTTAACCAGCGAACGTTTCGATAATCGATACATAACTGATGACTTACGCACCATCGATCTGATAAGAGCTCGTCAGGACAAGGAAACTGTTTTGCCGCTTAATCCACGCGAGAGAAATAGATATGTTCCTCTGTCTTCCGTGATGTTGATCAAACCTGAGAAAACCAAGTTAGCGAGGTCTATGGTGTTCTTGGGTTTGGCTACGGTTAAGCTTGTTACGTACATGGTTATGGATTATGGTCTTTATTGGGTTCTCAACACTATTCAAATCTATGGACGATTTCAAAGTAAGGTAAGGTTCATATCTTTAAAGATGTTGATGATATCGAAAACTACAAGAAAAGCATTGAGCTGTTTATCTAAAAAATTCATCGGTTTCGAAGATACTACATATTCTATCAACCCTAGAGTTCTACTGACGCAAATTATATTAAAGTGATATTTCTGATCATTTTATGCTATGAACAGCTCTATAATTTTTTCTAAAGAACATTTCAAAGAATCTATACCCGCATTCAGAAAGCCAGAATTGACCTTAGTATGTCCTCTATATGTTTATTTGCATAAAAAGCACATGGGACTCCAAAAATTACTACCTTTTGACTTAATCAATTTTAGTCCACCATTCGATTCTATTATGAATTAGACCTTCTTTACTCGAATGAAAAATCACTATCACTAGGTCAATCAAATCACTAGGTTGAACGACCAAGCGTGGTGACCATCCACGTATCCGGTGAGGGGTACTTAGCCGAACTATACCGAAGCATAATAAAAGCGTTCACTCCCCACGACAAAGACGCGGAAATCGACACGATGCTCTGTCTCCCAGCTCCAGTGACACCAGACCTAGACAAATACACGCAAATTATCACATTGATCGTGTTCTGCTGGCTAATGGCGTTCCTGGAGCCTTACGGTCTACGTCTGAGACAGGTGGTGATGTGCCAGTATTACCCTGACAGAGCGAAACAAAGAGCAGCCTGGTTGTACAATCATATCATCAGGTATTGGTGTTCTCTTTACGTTCGTTATTTCGAACGCTCATTATCGGGAACGAAACCAGGTCGAGAGGAAGCTTTCTGAAGTTCGCCAGACGTCAACTGCGCCGGAAGTTCGGGCTGACCGAGGGAGAAAAGACCGAAAGAGTGACGCTGAAACAGAGACTCTGGGCAACGTTACCTTGTCTCAGGATTCTGTTTCCTTTGAAGGAGAAGGTTTGTCTGCTGTGCGGTTCTGTGGAGCGCCACGACAATTTGCATATCAAGTGCCCGACTCCTGGATGCGTCGGCTTGTTTTGCACGCAGTGCTTCGCGGATCTGCAGAATCTGTGCACCATTTGTAGGAAGCCGGTCGAATACGGGGACTTGTCGGACATGAGCGAGGAAAAGTGGGTTAATTACTGTGGTACTCGGTGGATAATTTTCTTCTTTACTGCGACTTGAATTACGAGGCTGTTAAACGATTTCGTGGGTGGAGGTGCAATTTTGAATGTCGTATTGATTTTTTCCTTGCAAGTGATGTCAATGGATGAAGAGGAATATAGCTTTTGATTATGTAAAGTGTTTGAACTGCATGAATATTAAAATGGTGTCAGTGATCAATGGGACGTACACTTTTATTAATAGGAACGAGAAGTAAAAGTTGTTTATGATTGCTCAAATTAAAATGAAAAGTATAAACTGTTTGTGAATGTTCAAATTAATATTTGAAGTCTAAATTGTTTATGAACATTCAAAATAATATGTGGAGTATAAATTGTTTATGAAAGTTCAAATAATTATATCTGAAGTCTAAATTGTTTATAAGCATTCAAATTAGTATCTGAAGTATAAATTGTTTACGAACATTCAAAATAATATCTGAAGTATAAATTCTTTATGAAAGTTCAAATTAATGTCTGAAGTATAAATTGTTTATAATCATTCAAAATAATATTTGAAGCATAAATTGTTCATGAAAGTTCAAATAATTATATCTGAAGTCTAAATTGCTTATAACCATTCAAAATAATATATGAGGTATCAATTGTTTATGAACATTCAAAATAATATCCAAAGTACAAATTATTGATGACCATTCAAATTAATACCTGAAGTATAAATTGTTTCTAAAAGTCTATCTAATACCTTCAACTATAATATCCTTGAAACCAGAGATTCTTCTGAGGACCAGTTTCCGGTGTTCAAAGTAGAACCTCCCCCTGAAGAGAAAGAAGAGAAGCCCGAGGAAGAAGAAACAGTAGAAGAGGAAGAGGAATACGAAGATGAAGGTGAAGAGGAACAGACGGAGGAGCCAGAAGAAGAAAGAACGGAAATTGAGACTGAAGAGGAAAAAACGGAAGTTGAAACTGAGGAAGAAGTGAAAGATGAAGAGGTAGAAGAAAAACCAGAAAAAGAAGTAGCTCAGCAAACGGATGACGTAGAGTTAGATCGGACCTCTGAAACCAGTTATAGTTATAGTAAGAATCTGAAATTATATTTAATAAATAGTACTTCATAGATTAATTGATAATTGTAGAGATTTAATTGATTTTATTCTTTTATTATATTCTAACCTTTCATCCTGCAATTACATAAATTCGTAAATTAATGCTACTCGATACGAATCTACTTTCCAGATAAAATCTGTGTAAAAATCGTGAAATTCGAATGATTACAGCGTATCAAGAGGAATCTCCAGAGGAAGTAGACATCAAGTGCAGAGAGCCCTGGAGAGACCTGGAAGCCCAGAAAATTAGAGACGATGTAACAATTCAAGTACGTTCGAAAACGATCTCGAAGGTGTTGAAAATCACGTGTAGTTGTTCTCCAGATATTCAACGAACCGTTCATAAAAGACACGTCCTCGAGCTGCGAGTCACCCTCCTGTTTCGTGGTGAGGGCACGTAGAAAGATTCGTGCCAGATTGAAAAAGAGAGGGGGCGCATCGATCGCTCGCGAGAAAGATTCCGATTCATCAAGCTCGATCGCCGACACGGAATCATGGTCGACCGAAGAGGTCGACGAGGAAGAAGTGATACATATAGAAGTGGACGGCAGCTCCGAAGAATTACTTCCGAAGGATCGAAAGGATAAGGAGAAACGAGGTCGTATAAATAAAATCGTCAGCGCGGTGGCGAGGATTCCTTGGCTCGGTAAAGGAGAAGTATGAATTGCTCTGAATCCCCTCTAATTCCTCGATATTCGTTTCATCGTTATTTCTCTCTGAAAAATCCTTGAGAAAGATATTATTGCTCCTTCAGAAGAAACTTTGAAAATCGAAATGATTTAATTATTATTTATATAATTTTAAAACTATTTTAATTATTACCGTTTGGTTTTATTATATGTATATCAAATTTTATCAACTAGTTTAAAATGATTGCTTATATAATTAATTTTCTTTTTGAATAGGATGGTAAATGTACAGGTTTAAGAAGTAAAAGACCATCCCTTATGAACAGAATAGTAAGTATGCTTCAGAGGAAGCAATCAATGCCAGTTCAATCGTACAGAAGGACCAGGAAAGTAAAGGATTCATCCTCTTCCTGTGACGATGAAACCGAAACTCTATTAAGTAGCAGAGACAGACACGTGACTAGACGAAGAGTTAAAAGAGCGGATGAATCTGATGAAGTGAATTTAGATCTGAGGCATCCTTGTGAAAAGAGATTTGCTACGAAACGACTACCTAGGTAGTTCTATTAATTTTTAAAGACTAGATTTATGGAAGTCTGGTTTATGGGAGTGTGATGGTGTAGGTACTTGGAGTCGACTGCGAGGAGCACGTCGTATTTCGAGGTGGATGAAACGGAGGATTCACGGTCAGCACGGAAATGCGTGCGACGAGTGGAGGATATCAATAAATTGTCGAGCAAGGCGTCTTCGGGAGTGAGGAGGAAGGGTAGTTGGAATATAACGGAGGACGACGAGTTGGTAAATATTTGTGGATGATATTGTTCATATACTTGGTTAGAATATTTGGAATATTCTTGGTTAGAATATTTTTGGTTAATCTGTAGGTAATTGTTTTGGACAAATTTTTAATTTGATACTGGGATACTTTGTAAATTGCAAAGGTGTGTATTTGAAATTTTTGTGTATCAGGGTCTCTGTACTTGTACGTCGGAGATCAGTTACGAAGGAACTGGAGACAGGGAAATTTTGGAAATGACTACTATATCGGAACGCACTGACGACATGGAGAAGCCTATTCATGAAACGGAAGATACGTCTGTTTCCGAAAGTGAGACGGATTATACTGATGACACGGAGTCTGTTAAACTTTTGAGAAAACCTGAAGATGCAAAGGGAGTTAAACGTTTTGATAAACTTGACGATGTGAAGAAACATTCTGCTAAACCTGATGATGCGAAGAAACATTCTGACAAACCTGAAGACGTTTCTAAACCTGTAGAAACGATGGATCTGAAAGATAAGAAAGTGAGTGAAAAACCACAAGAAAAAATTGAGAAGAAAGGAGAAAAGAGGGAGAGTGAAAAATCGGAAGAAAAAATTGAGAAGAAAGAAGAAAAGAGGGAGAGTGAAAAATCGGAAGAAAAGATCGAAGAGGAAGTTGCGAAAGATGTGAAGGAAACGAAGACTAAAAAGAAGAAAATTTCTGCTAAAGAACCTGTGAAAGATGTGGAAAAGAAGGTTTCTCAGAAGGAAATTGAGGTTCCTATGGATATGGGTGCTTCCCCGATATATGACCCACTAGCGGGGTTGGAGTTGTATGGTGTTTCTTATAAGTCGAAAAGAAATCCTGTGCCTGTGAGACAGGCAGTAGAACAGAAAATTGAAGAAAGTGAGGCAATTGAGGAGACGCGTAATACAAATGAAAATGAATCGAGAAGAGATGACACAAATGAGGGGAATCCGAAGAAAAATGAGAAGAATGAAAGAGAATTGGGGAAGAATGATGGGAATAAAGGAGAGTCGAAGAATGAAGGGAATGAGAGAGAGTTGAAGAAAAATGACTCGAAGGAAAATTCGAAGAAGAATGACACTCTGACAAACCTGAAGACGTTTCTAAACCTGTAGAAACGATGGATCTGAAAGATAAGAAAGTGAGTGAAAAACCACAAGAAAAAATTGAGAAGAAAGAAGAAAAGAGGGAGAGTGAAAAATCGGAAGAAAAAATTGAGAAGAAAGAAGAAAAGAGGGAGAGTGAAAAATCGGAAGAAAAAATTGAGAAGAAAGAAGAAAAGAGGGAGAGTGAAAAATCGGAAGAAAAAATTGAGAAGAAAGAAGAAAAGAGGGAGAGTGAAAAATCGGAAGAAAAAATTGAGAAGAAAGAAGAAAAGAGGGAGAGTGAAAAATCGGAAGAAAAAATTGAGAAGAAAGAAGAAAAGAGGGAGAGTGAAAAATCGGAAGAAAAAATTGAGAAGAAAGAAGAAAAGAGGGAGAGTGAAAAATCGGAAGAAAAAATTGAGAAGAAAGAAGAAAAGAGGGAGAGTGAAAAATCGGAAGAAAAAATTGAGAAGAAAGAAGAAAAGAGGGAGAGTGAAAAATCGGAAGAAAAGATCGAAGAGGAAGTTGCGAAAGATGTGAAGGAAACGAAGACTAAAAAGAAGAAAATTTCTGCTAAAGAACCTGTGAAAGATGTGGAAAAGAAGGTTTCTCAGAAGGAAATTGAGGTTCCTATGGATATGGGTGCTTCCCCGATATATGACCCACTAGCGGGGTTGGAGTTGTATGGTGTTTCTTATAAGTCGAAAAGAAATCCTGTGCCTGTGAGACAGGCAGTAGAACAGAAAATTGAAGAAAGTGAGGCAATTGAGGAGACGCGTAATACAAATGAAAATGAATCGAGAAGAGATGACACAAATGAGGGGAATCCGAAGAAAAATGAGAAGAATGAAAGAGAATTGGGGAAGAATGATGGGAATAAAGGAGAGTCGAAGAATGAAGGGAATGAGAGAGAGTTGAAGAAAAATGACTCGAAGGAAAGTGAAAAAGAATCAAAGAAGAATGAAAAAGAATCGAAGAAGAATGACACGAAAGATAAAGAATCCAAGAAGAATGACACGGAAGTGACAAAGCAAATTACAGAAAGAAAAATTGATAAATCCACAGACTTACCTGATCAAAGTAGATCCACTCAAACAAAGTTACATAGCGGTGATAAGGGAGTAATACGCAAACATTTACAAAGACTTTTTAAAGCTGTAGATACGAAAGAGTCTAGAAAGGATTTTAAAGAATCTAAGAAGGAATTGCAACCTAAAGAATCGATGAAGCCTAAGGAATCGAGAAAAAGAGATAAAAAGAGAAAACGTCGTAAGAGGTAATTAGTCAAGTTCGAAGCAATATTTTTGTATAAAAATTAATTTTTCTTAGGTGTAAAGATCGTGATGTTTCAAAAAGAAGAAAACGGAGAAGTCGTTCGGAGAAGACGACTGTAACCGATGAAGACTTATACTCGTAAATTAATTTTTGTTAATTATATAAATGTAAAACAATTACAGAAAAATGTGATCGATATTTTGTGCAACAGATTGCAGTCAGAAGATGAGTTACCTCTCGAACCACGCAAGAGGTATAAAGAAGAAAAATACGATGTCTGTCGTGGAAGATCAAAACCACCTTCAGAATTTGAGCGATCAGAAAATTGGGAATCACACACGTACTCTCCTTATGATTTACACACACTAGAGACACATCAATATCCTGAAGAGTATCACAGCGTAGACGAAAGGTACATATTTAAAAAGTTACAGTCTAAGTAGTCTAAGTTCTAATCTAATCAAAATCTAAGTTTCCTTAACTAAAATAAATATGTTCCAGTATTTGTCGCTGTTCATCAAATTACACTCAATCTCTCCGGAAAGAGATGCCCGAATTCGAAATGCCTGTAGTAAGAAAGTACTTGCCAATGTATCAGAGTCCAGAACTAATCGAGGAGTTGAAGAGACACGATCGAGTCAGGCTGATTCGAGAAGCTGAAGAACGCAGAGCAAGCTCACCACGTTCAATTCCGTGTTCCAGAATGAGGGCTGGAAGTAGCGTCACATGCGATTACATGACACCTGTAAATAATAATTACTTATCAAAGACTAGGTTTAATTTATTCAAATTTAGACGATATTCTATTTCTAAGAGTATTTGAAAAAGAACAAAGAGTAATTAGAAAAAATTTATTTTACCTCCGCAAGTTTAATTTAATTTGATTTATTTCAATTCGAGAGCAAGTTAGTCAAGGAAGAAGATACCCTTCCTTACCAGGAGACTCAAGCTTACAAGAATGTGCTGCGTGAATTGCGAAAAAGGACCAGTCGCCGGAAGACTGAAGACGGTTCTGATAGTATACCTCTGATTCAGTTATCTAAGAAAGCAGACAAGAGCAAACAGGTGGAGCTATTGTATCCACCTCCAGATAGATCGAGCGCTGTGAGGAAGCTTGCCAAAAGAATAATCGCACCTTTCAAGGTATTTTGAGTATTATGAAACGTACACTATTTGAATCTCCTACTTAATATCACTTATACCATTTCTTATTTAATATCATCCAATATTGTAACCATCTAAACTTATCTAATAAGTTTTTTAATAATTATGTCATGCTTGCTATACTTTGCAGCCAGCTCCACATGAGAAGCATAGGCAGACTCCCCCGCGTTTCACATACAAGAAAAAGGGTGCATTATGTCGTCAATGTGAATTTGACCCACAAGTTTTTACCGAGACATCTTCTATTTGCGACTGCAGCGAGAAGACAGAAAAATCAGATGCGTTAACATCCGATGAAACGACAGATAACAACGAATCGCCAGAGCGAGCGAGGTAAACGCGCCCGATAAGAGCTCTCTTCATGTGTGAAGTTAACTTTATCGAACATAACACGTTTCGTAATTTTTATCGACGAGAAGACAGTCGACTGTTTGGAATCGTTTATCAGAATTCTAACCTGCAGAATGAACGAGTAAAAATTAGCAATATGTGCTCGCGATAAGGCGATGCACTTTCGAACTGAAAATTGAGCGAGTTCCAGCGATGAGGAACGATTCACGTATCGTACAAAGAATGTAGATAGAAAAAACAAAATGGGGCTGGGAAAGTTACTCAGCTTCAAAAGATCGAAACCGAAAGCGGAAGAAACAGAAACTGAAAAGGAAACTAAAGAAGAAACTGAAAAGGAGGTGTCGGTGGAAAAAGAAGAACTGGAAGCTCCGAAAGCTAACAATGCGAATATAGCTTATCCTTTTCACGACGTAAAAGCGACAAGTTTCCCTCCGCCACTGTCGATCGACGCTTCGGTGTACACTGATCCTAACACTTTGATCGAGACACGTTCCGAGAGTCAACAAATAACCGAAATTCCCGATAAAAATGGAAAACAGAAGGATGAGCAGGAAGAAGATAAAGTGGAGGATGAGAAGGTGCATGAGGAGGTTTGCGATTCGAAAACTTGTACGAAGGAGAAGTGTAACTCGGAAAGCTGTGCGAGGGAGAGAAAAAATGGCGGACAACGCGAAGAAGATGTAGATAAAATTGGTCAGGAAAAACTGACAGAAATGATCAATAGCTCTATTAAGGAGGCGATGCAGACGATCGTGAAGGAATGTAGAATGGTATTTAAGATGCAAGTATCCAAGATACTTTTGAATCATTTAAATTCGTGAAATTTGAAGGTAGTTTAATAGAGGGTGGTTCTCAAACTTTTTTGTATTAATTTATTTCAAGGTGTAATGTTTGATTTATTTCAAAGAGCAATGTTTGAGAACCATAAGCACTGTTTTAAGATGTAAGAGATTAAATAGAATATTTAAACACAGGATGGGAAAAAAGATCGAGACAAATCAATCTACCGCAGGAGTAAATACGATTATCGATCACGGCATAGACCGAAGAGTAGCGTGAAATCGGGGCATTTTCGAGAGAAACGCGATATCGTTTCTAGATTACACGACGAATGTGTAAAAAGTCGTGATAAGAGAGATGTAAACGAAGAGAGAAGCAAAAAATGGAAGAAATTGGAGAGCAATGCCCGAACTGATAACCGTAAAATGACCGGAAACGTGAATATCTATATTTGTTCTGAAGCTACTGAGAATGCGCAGGTAAGGGTAAGACGCACATGGTGTGTCACTGCTTCTAACATATTTTATCATAGACTCAGTTTAATAATTTCATGGATGAATATTCAGTGTTTATTAAAGTGTTCATTAAATTCGCTGTTAAGGATGAGCTCATTTCTTATGACGCATATGGTGCGTCACTGCGTTTGACCCTCTTCATTCATCATAGACTTTATATCACAATTTCATGGATGAAACATTCAGTGTTCATTAAACTGTCCATTAAATTCGCTGTTAAAGATGAGCCTGTTTCTTATGACGCACATGGTGCGTCACTGCGTTTGACCCTTTTTATATATCATAGATTTTGTTTAACAATTTTATAGACGAAAAATACAGTGTTTATTAAACTGTCCATTAAATTCACTGTTAAGGATGAATCTATTTCTTAGGACGCACATGGTGCGTCACTTTATGTACTATAGATTTTGTTTAACAATTTTATGCATGAAACATTCAGTGTTTATCAAACTGTCCATTAAATTCATTCTTAAGGATGAGCTTCTTTCTTAAGACGCACGTGATGCGTCACAAAGTTCAACCCTCTTTATCTATCCCAGACTTTGTTTAATAACTTCACGGTCAGTGTTTACTAAGCTGTCCATTCAATTCACTGTTATGTATCTTTTCTGGCAGAGTTATTTATAGAAAATTCAATAAATTATTTTTAAAGGCATTTAAGTTAGTTATCTTTACATAAACACCTGTCATTCCAATTAGTTATCTTCAAAACACTTGTAATTCAAATTATCTTTGTATGAAACACCTGATAATTTTGCGACTAGAATTCTTCGCAGTTTTCAAACAAATTCCTTACTTTTGATCCGCTTAAATTTCCGCTCTTATTTCGCTAAACGATAAGGAAATTTATCTTCACTTATTCCAAAGACTAATCTTATCTCCGAGAAATTGTTTACTAAATATATCCGATGTTGCACAAATTCAAGTATACTGAAAGTGCAAATAAAAGATGTATAGAAATCTAAGATACATAAAAGATTCTAATAAAGTTCCTTTATAGCCGACGAAATCGAAAAAACAGCAGCCGTGTGCAGAATCGAGCTCAGAAACGACCACGGGTCGATCGGACCTTTCCTCCAGCAAACTCGTGACGTGCATCCGAAACAAGCGCAGAAAGTTCAAGGAACAAACTCTTAGCAAAAAGGATGAAAGCAGCGATAACAGTTCCAGCCTCGTTTCTAAATCCATCACTGAAAGCGAACAAGATCTCATCGACGTCTGCAAACAAATCAGCGAAAAAGACACGGAATCAACCTTAACAGAATGCGAATGCAAAGACAGTAGCGATGCAACGATCGCATCGGATCAGTCTTTGAGAAGAACAAAATTTGTGGTCTGCGACGCTGTGGAGAAACCGTGTTCCACCATTTATCCTTTGAAGGCGTCTTCCAAGTCGGAGAGCGAAGAATGGTCGTCGAAATCGGTCCGCAGCAGTCGCGACTCTTCGCTCGAGACACTGAGAACGGTCTGCGATAAGAAGCGAGGACCTGAATTAGGATATAATAATTATTACCAGAATAATTTGAAGGAAGATTACGAGAGCAAGAGGAAGGTTATGAGTGCCTGTAGGTGTCGCAAGAATCGGGAACAGGTTGGTGGATGCAGTTGTGGTGAGAAGAGGAGAAGAAAAGAGAATTTGAAACCTTCAACATGTGCTTGCATTGCGGAGGAAGAGGAAGATGTCTGCAATGATGAAGACTGTCAGAAACTGCAAGAGAGCGTTTGTCAAAATGTGGAGAGAACTGAAGAACAAATAGTGCCGTGCACAGAGGGTGTGAAAGAGAAGGTAGAAGAGGAGAAACCTGAAGAGGATGAACCTGTAAAGGAAGATGCACCTGTAAAGAAGGATGAACCTGTAAAGATAGAACCCGTCGAAGAAACGAAGGAACCGTCTCCATTAACACCTCGGAGATTAGTAAGACCAGAAGTAGTGGTCCTAAAGAATATTTTAAAACAAACTAAACCGCCTGCGCAAACTAATCCTGGACCGGCGAAAGTGACTTCATCGCCGTCGAGTAATCCAAGTAATTCGCAAGTCAAAAACGAGCCGGCGTTTATGAAAAAATTTAACCTTCGCGAGCAGTACAAGTTTATGAAGAGACCGGATGCTGAAGAAACTACGCAAAAAGTGGAAGAGGAAGAATCGAAAGCTCCTTCGAAGGAAGAGGAAGAATCGAAGGCTCCTCCGAAGGAAAAGGAAGAATCGAAGGCTCCTTCGAAGGAAGAGGAAGCTCAAAAGAATCCAGAAGATAATGTTGCCAGGAGGTCCTTCTCGGAAAGAATGAAGGGTACGTTGTTTTACAAGACTTTCAGAAAAGTTGTCGACAAGGCGAGTCCGGATAGAAAGAACGGGAAAGAGGAGAAAGATGCGATCGAAGATACGGATACTGAGAAAAAGGAGGAGAAAACAGATGTTGATCAGAGAGAAGATTCTAAGGAGTCGAAAGGGAAATTCATGAATATATACAAAATCATGAAATCGAAGAGGAGTAAAAAGAATTCAAATGAAGTTACTTTAGAGAAAAATTCTGAAAAGGATGAATCGAAGGCTGTACCGATGGAAGAGAAGAATGTTCCTCAGGAAGAAGAAAAAGATGTTCAAGAAGGATCAGAAAGAAGAGATAAAAAGAAGGATGAGAAAGAAGAGAAAGAAAAAAGTGCAGAAGTAATTATTGAAAATGAAGACAAAGTGAAATCGATCACTCCAGTTACAAAACCTTCCTCAATTAAAGATATCAAGATTGAAGAAGAAAAGAAAGATAAAAAGACTGAAAGAGTGATCGAACCTCAAGAAGCAAAGATCGAAGACAGAGAAATTCGCAAAAAATTCGATCAGTCAAAGAAGGAAGAAATGAAGAAACCTGTAGAAGAGAGACCTAAGAGAATCGACACACATTCGGAAGCTACAGTGTGTGCACAATGTATTCGAAGGAAATCACAGAAAGAATCGAAACATTTCGTGGCTCCACCGCGTATGCAGACTCTGCCATCGGAACCCCATACCACATGCATAAATACGAAATTCACAAGATGCGACGTTAATAACAATTATCCTAATGAATCTTTTAATGAAAGCAGGTGTAACTGCTGTTATTTACCGATATCTCAGTGCACCAATGAATTCGTGAGCCATCCGAAGAGCTGTTTGAAGAAGGAGAGACAGTTTCGTTGTGTCAATTCGCAGGAAAATTCTTCGGTTTTGTGCTGCGATAAGAGGAACTGGGAAGAGTGCGGGTGCAGGAGGGTGGTCTTGTGCGAAGGGTGTCGTAGGCCGAGGACTGAGTGCTGGTAAGTTAATTCTTTTTTGGGTAGATGATATAGGATGAGGATGTGGTAGAATACAGTGATGTAATGCAGGTGGAAGAAGAAAGGTTGTAAAAATATAGTAAAAGGAGGATGGAACAATGTGGTGGGGGATGAAGGTGAAGATGGACTAGAATGAGAGTGGTACTAGAATGAGGGTAGTAGTAGAATGAGGGTGAGAGTAGAAATAAGAGAGTAGTAGTAAAATGAAAGAGGTGGTAGAAAGGGTGGGAGTAAAATAAAAGTGGCACTAGAATAGGAGTCTTAGGATAATCAGGGTGGCACTAGAATCAGAGTAGCAGTAGTATGAGGGCGACAGTACAGAATGAGGGTGGTATTAGAATGAGAAGGGTAGTAGAATAAAGATGATGGTAGAATGAGAGTCATATTAGAACGAAGGTAATACTAGAATGAGAGTAGTAGTAGTACGAGGGCGATAGTATAGAATGAGAGTCATATTAGAACGAAGGTAATACTAGAATGAGAGTAGTAGTAGTACGTGGGCGATAGTATAGAATGAGGGTGGTATTAGAATGGGAGTGGTAGTAGAATGAAGGTGAGGGTAGAGTGAGAGTTCTATTAGAATGAAGGTGGTACTAGAATGAGAGTGATAGAAAGAGTGAGGGTGCCACTAGAAGAGTAATCTTAGAAGGGTGGCAGTGGAATCAAGGTGGTACTAGAATGAGAGTAGTAGTTGTTTAAAGGCGATAGTATAGAATGAGGGTGGTATTAGAATAGGAGTGGTAGTAGAATGAAGGTGAGGGTAGAGTGAGAGTTCTATTAGAATGAAGGTGGTACTAGAATGAGAATGGTAGAAAGAGTGAGGGTGGCACTAGAAGAGTCGTCCTATAAAGATGGCGATAGACTCAGGGTGGTACTAGAATGAGAGTGGTAGAAAGAGTGAAAGTGGCACTAAAAGAGTAGTCCTATGAAGGTGGCGATGGAATCAGGGTGGTACTATAATGAGAGTGGTAGAAAGGGTGAGGGTGGCATTAGAAGAGTAGTCCTATGAAGGTGACGATGGACTCAGGGTGATACTAGAATCAGAGTGGTAGACTTTCTGAGGGTGGTACTGGAGAAGTAGTCCTAGAAGAGTGGCAATGGAATCAGGGTAGTACCAGAACGAGAGTAGTGGTAGTATGAGAGTGTTAGTACAGAATGAGGATAGTAGTATAATAAGAATAGTACTACAATGAGAGTGGTAGTAAAATAACTACGATTTTCCATGATAACTCTTTATTATTCCACAAATAATCATACATCTACAAACCCTAACCCCAAAAAGTCCTATTAACACCTCAAATTTTAACCAGTTGCCGATTCACCTACGTACCCTGCACAAATTGCTGCAAGCCCCGAAGCAAGTGTTCCTGCAAATCCATCTGCAGAGGCACGTACAGCCCCGCGAGATCGATGTTCTGTCTCTATTGCGACAATCCGCGGGAAAAGTGTACGTGTCGAGCCCCTTTGAGGAAATGCTCCTGCTGTGACTTGTCGGTCGACCTGTGCAGGTGCGATCAGAAGACGATTTGCGATGGCAGACCGGTCCTGACCGAGCCCGATAACGATCGCACCATGTACGTAACCGCTTGGAAGCCGAGGGAAGAGATACGACGATACTTCTCGAGAAAGTTGGACGTTCTTCGAACCGATTCTATCAATGAATGCTGGTGCCACGAGAAGCTGAAACACCACAACTCCGATGACCTTCCTTATCAACGCTTGCGCGTCTTCTCCGACGTGATGGACGAGCTACAGCAGAAGTTGAGCGAGTCTACGTGCTGCACTCGTTGCAGGAAGATTCCTTGTTGCTGCAATATCGAAGCTGACGAGGGAAGGGATGAGAGGAAGATAAAATGTTGTGTTAGGTGCTGCCATTATTTATTACGATCGAAGTTCAAAGCTCGACGTTACGTCATCGTTAGATCTAATAGCGCATTAAATGCATTCGATGACATAAAATTATTATATAGTAACAATTATGTACATTTATGTACAGTTATGTCTGTTCGAAACATAAGGTTTGGTGATATAAGTCTCTCGTTAATATTTGTTAATACGGAGATATCGAAGTCTCTTATCGATTAATATGTAATACACAGTAAGTCCGTCTACTGATAGCGAGTGTTTTTATTAGAATTATTCATTAAAGACTTGTGTAATCGCTTTTGGCAAAATTTATGTGGCACGCGCGCTACTTTATGACGTCGAGATGTGTTGGACTTTTGATGTCCTAAATTATGATCAACACATGCACAATGATCTGATATTTTGATTGCAAGAAAATATTTTTCTGAAGTGACATAACCTTAACTCTAGATTATCAGTTAAATATTTTCTGTGTTTTTATTGGGATTGTGTTTGTATACTGATATGTATATTTCCGAGATTCTAGATTAACTTGACGTTCTATAAAAAGGCATTCATGACGAAGAGTTTGTAATAATTTCACACATCGAAATGATAAATACGATTTTTATTTGCAGCCCGAAGACACGGAGGAAGCTCGTTGCTGTATGCGTGGAGAAGCCAGTTAAGTCGCTGAATAATTACAAATGTGACATTGCTAAAGAAAAAAACGATAGACAGAGGAAAATAATAGTAACTCTCTGCTGCGATTGCAAGTCAACGCCGTGCAGATGCAAAAAGAGCAAATCGAATCAAAAGAAACCGAGAGCGAGGTGTTATTATTGCAAAAACTCGCCTTGCGTGTGAGTAATTGTAATTTGACTCAATTTTTCCCCTTGAAAATTCAGAAATTCGATTTGATAATATAAAAATTATAATACCGTTGTTTGAAGATGGGGGAGTTAGAAAATTTTTAAAGATGAAGAGTATAGGATTCAAAGAAGGGTTCAAAGCTTCCCAAACTTTGTAGATCCCAAATTCACAGCATTCTAAAGTTCTAAAGTCCTTAATTCTTCACGTACCAAATTCCAAAATCCGAAATTTGCAAAATTCCAAAGTTCCAAAGTCCCTAATCTCAAAACTCCCGAATTCCCAAGATTTCAAATTCCAAAAATCTCCAAATCCTAAAGATCCCAAATTCCCAACATTCCAAAGTTCTAAAATTCCAAACTCTCCACGCATCAAATTCCAAACCCCCAAATTTGCAAAATTCCGAAATTCCAAAGTCCCTAACCTCAAAATTTCCGAATTCCCAACATTTCAAAGTCCAAAACTTCCCAAATCCTAAAGATCCCAAGTTCCCAACATTTCCAAGTATTCAAATTCTAAATTCTCCACGCATCAAATTCCAAAACTCCAAATTTGCAAAATTCCGAAGTTCTAAAGTCCCTAACCTCAAAGCTCCCAAATTCCCAAGATTTCAAATTCCAAAAATCTCCAAATTCTAAAGATCCCAAATTCCCAACATTCCAAAGTTCTAAAATTCCAAATTCTCCACGTCCCAAATTCCAAACCCCCAAATTTGCAAAATTCCGAAGTGCCAAAGCCCCTAACCTCAAAACTCCCGAATTCCCAAGATTTCAAATTCCAAAAATCTCCAAATTCTAAAGATTCCAAATTCCCAACATTCCAAAGTTCTAAAGTCCCAAACTCTCCATGTCCCCAAATTCCAAAATCCCAAATTCGCAAAATTCCAAAGTCCTAACCTTCCTAACCTCAAAACTCCAAAATTTCAAACATCTCAAACTCCTACACTTCCAAACTCCTAAACTCCCAAATACCAAAAATCCCAAAATCCATAAATTCTCCAAAAATCCTCTTGCGATTCACCGCGACGCCATATTGGACTCACGATGCGAATCAATGAAGGCCCCCACAGTAGTCAAGGAGTTAATGGCTCCGATCGTAGAGCTGGTACTTCCAGTTGCTGATCTTTTTTCCCATTTTTTTCCACAGCTGCATTGCGAGCGGAGATTGCAACAAACCGAGGCCATGCAGGTGTACTGATTCACCTTGCCGAACGAAAGAGAAGGAAAACGCACCGCGCGGAAAAACATCCACGAAACCGAAGAACAATGACGAAAAGATAATTTGTGTGCGGTAGAACGACACCTGTGATTATTTAACACCGAACGTGTATCGTACGAACGATCTGTTAACCGAGATCTCGAAACGATACTTGAGAGGTTTGAAAACTTTAATGATAAAAAGAAAGGACAAATTTTGTTTTCGCGAAGTTATATTGTTTATAGAAATCTATTCAAATTTTGAACGAACTCGAAAAGAATGAAGAAAAGTTTATTTCTTCGTGTTTTGTTTATTCATGTTTATTGAAGACGTTTTTGAATATTTTAAGAGTTGAAATGTAAGGAAGTTCATACTTTAATGGTTTTTAATAAAAGTAAATGAATTGTGATTTTGAGAATTGTTTTATTTAAGAATTATGTTAAGTTAAGAATGGAGGATTTCATTTAAATTTTCCAGAAAAGTGTGAAATATTAAAAAACAATTTGATTATGCTAATCGTCGCGATATTATCGAAACAAATATTTATGTACGCTGGTTATCTTTTACATCGAAAAATAACGGGGCTATGTTGTACGTAATGGTATGTTGTTTTTTGAGTCGGCAGCTGTAAATTAACAAGAAACGCAAACGTGTGTATGATAAGAAAGCCCAAATTATTCCGGTCAAAAACGGCGGAATTAAACAGATTGACGCGATGCGTTCTAACACAACGATAAATTAATTCACAGCAAACTCTTGATAAATGCGAACAATACAGATATCAAATACCTGTAGAATAAACGAAAGACCCCAGCACAGCTTCCTTACTTTCCACTTCCAAGTAATTGTAAAATATTTTCATTTGAAACTTGCAGTGTTAGCAATAGTCACATATGACGCACGGAGAGATATTCAGGACTCAGTTGCATATTTGTGAGGTTTCTAGAAGAAAATATTCGATAAGGAGATCAAATACAAGGAGATACATTAGATCATGCACTATGCAAGATCACATATTATTCAAGATCATAAGCTTCTGGTGATACATGTTTTCCATTGTTTGATAATGCTCACATGTGGTTAACTCTTCATTGTTGTTAGAAATATTTATTATTCTATCGAAAAGGGTCAGTTCATCAAAAAAATAATATTTAATATTATTTAAAAATTTCTTACAATATTTGATGTGTGAGACATCTATCGAAAAGGGTCAGTTCATCAAAAAAATAATATTTAGTATTATTTAAAAATTTCTTACAATATTTGATATCTGAGACATCTATCGAAAAGGGTCAGTTCATTAAAAAAATAATATTTAGTATTATTTAAAAATTTCTTACAATATTTGATATCTGAGACATCTATCGAAAAGGGTCAGTTCATAAAAAAAATAATATTTAGTATTATTTAAAAATGTCTTACAATATTTTATATATGAGACATCACAATATATCACATATGTGATTACAGTAAAAATTTGTCTATTGTCTAGCTAAGTGTCTGTCTAGCTAAGTGTCAGTCTAGCTAAGTGTCTGTCTAGATAAGTGTCCGTCTAGCTAAGTGTCTGTCTATCTAAATGTTACATGTGACACAAAATTTCTATCATTTATCACATTTCTATGTATTAAAAAATATATGTATTACACAAAATCGAGAAGTAATCCTAATAAACAAAGAAAAATAAATGTCGCCGCATTTACAAAAAATGGTAAGTCATAGTATTAACAAAAAATATGAAGTGTATCAATTGATCCCTTATATCCTCCAGATACCATATGACAGTGCACGATCGAATTGATCAAATAAATGTTTGTTAACGATGGAATAAATATTTGAAGCTGGTTGAAGTCGTCAGGAGTAGGGGATATCTTAGGCTTCATAAGAGACGCTGTCTCCCGTGTTTTACTAGATCGTTACGAACTGTAGACTGGCAACGTGTTCTTTCATCGCTAAACGCATTCTTCGCTTCCTTTCGCTTTCAAACAACTCCACGTTTCCTTTTTCTCTTTTCGCGATCTTGTAGAAACATTTGCATCGTTCGAACTGAGGGAATTTCGCGAGTGGAAAAGAACAAGGGAAAAATGCAAGTTTGTAGTGAAGATCGAGGATTGTTCTGTGTGAACCGTGAAAAACTGCTGAACGAGAAGAATGCTAGTCAAGGAAAAGTTCAACTGACTCTTCGGGAACTGATAGATGCTTTGCACGAGGCTTTTAAGACTGATCATGTTAATATCGACGATGTGCAGAGCCTGATGGCGTCTTACAGGAGCAACCCCTTGGAGTGGAAAAAATACGCGAAGTTCGATAGATATAGGTAAAGACTCACAAAATATTTAACATATAATAGTTGAGGGGTCACCGCCATGTTAATATTGCGACCAGTATTAATAAACCTTTAACAAACCTCTTATATATAAAAATTGAAGACAGCCTCCTCTGAAGTAAAGGACTTATTTTTAAATTGTAACAAAATAAAATTTAGCAGGAAACTTTGATAATTCATTAATAATTTCAGACAGTAAATTTTGATAATAAACAATGTTTCTCTTAAGTTCGCGAACAATCGAATTTCTCGGTAAATACTTTATCGTGGTACAAACAGAACGTCGTACAACTACGTCGGACTTGTGAAATAAAATTAATATAACGAAGTTCATGATAGGTTATCACCCGTTACTGTTTCTCTAACCCTGACGGTTTCGTAGATCCTCTGTTTGGCTCGCGAGCCTAATCAATCTTCAATAACGAGGTATTTAGCGATCCGGTTATACGTCGATACGGCCAAAGCAAATGACCTGACGAAAAAATATAAATAATTGTTCGATATATCAGTTAAAAAAATTAATAATTGTTGGAAACATCAACAAACTTATCACCGGGAGTATCGCGTTGGGAAGAACCGATTTATTGTTCGCGGATGTGCAAGACGAAACGAGAACGATAGAGAGACATCTATTCTGTGTGGATGAGAAGATGATAAGAGAGAGGATTCTAGAATTGTTCCAATACTAATAACTTGTTTGATAATTCTACAATTATTCTACAATTAGAGACTCGATATTTTCAGTCGAGAAAATAAATGCATTTTTTTTCCAAATTTTATACTGAAATTAATAGAAATTAAAAAATTAGTTTTGCAGTATAAGATGGGATTTTATTTTTATTTCTATGTGCGGATTATTAATGAAGATTTAATAATTAAAAATTTTGCAAAGTACGAAAGGGAATATTTATTTTTATTTTCATAACTTGCGTTGTGTATTAATTATAATTTAAAAATAAGTAATTTGTAGCGTACCAAAGTTGTAAATACATAATCTCTGCCTCGGTACACAAACAAGTATATAATTACAAAAGTGTTAATTAATGAGCTTCGTAAACGATAATCGATATACTTTTACGTGAAACTTTATCGGAATTCGAAGTAAACGAACCGAAATCAACTTTCTCTCGTAAATGTGTGAAATGTAATTGCAGATCTGAAACAAAATTGCTTCGTCAATCGCTAAGATAATAACGAGCGTGTGCTTATTAGGATTATGACACGCAATTGCCACACGTTATTGATTTCCACATGACATGCGAATCTATGAAGATAGGGAAAACCACATATTTTTAATATTTTCTGAATGACGCACTTGGGAATTCTGGAATTTGTGATTTGGAAAATTGATTGGGGAAGTTTAGTAATTTGGACATTTGGGAATTTACGAATTTGGGGATTTGGGGATTTGAGAACTTGGGGAATTTGGAATTTGGGGATTTGGGAGATTTGGAGGATTTGGGGGATTTAGGGGATTTTAGAATTTTGGGAATTTGAGAATTTTGGGGATTTGAGGATTTTGGAAATTTGAGAAATTGGGGAATTTGAGAATTTGGGAAATTGGGAAAATGGGGATTTGAGAATTTCGGAAATTTGAGAAATTGGGGATTTGAGAATATTGGGAAATTGAGAATTTGGAAAATTGGTAATTTGGGAATTTGAAAATTTAGGGATTTGAGAATTTGGGGATTTGGGAATATTGGGAAATTGAGAATTTGGAAAATTGGTAATTTGGGGATTTGAGAATTTGGGGAATTTGAGAATTTAGGGATTTGAGAATATGGGAAATTAGTAATTTGGGGATTTGAGAATTTGGGAAGTTGGAAATTTGGGAATTTGAAAATTTCGAAGTTTGGAAATTTGGAAAATTCTTAATTTTCGAATTTGAAAAATTGAAACTCCTATAATTAAAAAATTTCGATATCTATAAATTTAAAAACATTCAAATTTAAAAAATTTAAAAATGTAAACATTTGATAGTTTATTACCATCTAATATACAAGGTTTCACATCCAGCATAAATTCCTTTATATTACATTTACAAAACTATATTTTGAGGTCCTAGGGTCCCCTAGGGAACATTCGTGGTTACGGCAGTGTCACCGCACTCGAAAGAGTAAAACCTAGGTATGCGGAACACCAGAGATTTATGTGTATTGCACGTAAATCGGTGGTTGTTGGGTGAATGGCTGGTTACCCATACTTTCCACGTATGTCCCCCTTCTCTAAACTTCGCGTTACATCTGATTCAGAATATCGGTTCTTTGACACGCGCCACATATCGACATTTTCTCGCGTTTGACAAAGTGTTGAACAATGAGAGCGATTACTTATCATCCCATAATCGGTTATTGTCCTTCTACGACGTTGAACGTGATTCACATCAAGGAGAAATCCATAAAAAGCTTGATAAACAAACTGCTTTATGCAGGTACACAAGGAACTTGGTCGACGAAGGAAATGGAAGGTTCAATCTTATGGTGCTATGTTGGGGCGAAGGTCATGGTTCAGCTATACATGATCACGCTGATGCACATTGTGTCATGAAAATTCTTCAGGGTGAACTTTGTGAGGTACAATAATTATTTCTTATAACACAACAATAACTATTTCTTATAAAATATATATTATATATAATTATATTCTTACAAGGCATTTCTACAAGGTGTTTCTTGTTTTTTTTTTTAGACAAGATATGCGTGGCCAAAGAAGTGCAAGGATAATAACGACGGAGAGGAGTTGGAGGAGCTTGAAGAGTTACAGAGAAACACTCTTGGATTAAATGAAATTTGTTACATCAATGGTACAATTTTTGGTATCACTAGATGAGAGTATACAGATCTGTATTAGAATCAGGAATTGAAATCAAGGGATGCACTATAAGGATATACTATAAGCTTGTAGGATAATACTGTAGGGTTGCAGGAATGAGATAGTACAGGATATAATAGAGACAGAGGGACGTGGAGATCTATGGTTATTGAAATTTAGGGGTGTGGGGATGTAGGGTTATGAAGATCTAGACGTAGAGGGATTTAGGACTATAGGTATCTGGGGGTATAGATACTTGAGGTTTGAGTAACTAAGGGTATAGGTACTTGAGGTTTGAGTAACTGGGAGTTTAGGTACTAGGATGGTACATGTACAAGGGTTGTATAGGTACTTGGAGGTATAGGTACAAGGAGGTATAGGTACTAGGAGGTATAGGTACAACGTGGTACAGGTACCTGGGGTATAGGGATCTGGAGATATTGGGATCCAGACATACAAAGTTCTAAGAAAATAGATATTAAAGAATCTAGTTACTAGTAATCTAAGATTGTACAGATTTAAGGACATACATATCTAGAAGTATGTATAAGACTACAAGTGTGTAAAGATCTGACGTTATAAGTCTCTGTAAGAATAGATATTTGATGTCATAGAAATCCACAAACATTGAAACCAAAATATACAGAAATTCAAAAATACAAAAATCTTATTTAATAATGACAGGTAATAACTATTTTCTAAACGTGTTATAGATTCTCTGGGACTTCACAGAGTAGAAAACCCAAGTGCCGTTAACCCCGCAGTGTCGCTGCATCTATACTCGCCGCCATTTTCCTCGTGTTCGGTCTTCAACAAACAAACGGGACAAAGAAGCCAGTGTAAAGTCACATTCTGGTCGAAATACGGAGAGAGGAGGAACCGGGTAAGACTTCATTCTTATATTATCCACTTCTGTAATAATGATTCGAGAAATTTATTAATAAGAAAGTTGTTTTTCTTTTTATTTTGCAGGAGATCCAAGACTCCAGGTGTCCGGAGGATAACTAACTTAACCCCGTGGCAATTTGCTTCGTATAGTATAAAATTTAGAACGTAGTTTTATAAAATGATAAGTATGTACTTAAACGCGTTTAAGTTTTGCTAAGTATTTTTGTTAACGTTCGACCTTGGTGCAATTACGGTGAGATGAGTTCCTCGAAAATAAATATCTGATTGTTTTGTGAAAATAAAAAGAATTTATCAAGGTTCGAGGTCAATGAACTCATTTACGATAAAATGATTAATTGTATCGTAATTACTATTGGTTTCCAACTCTCATTAAGAGCAATCTTTTTCGCGATGAAAAAACTCATAATGTAGCAATTAATTAAGTCTGTTTTTCCAAATAAATAATGTACATACGAATATTTACACTGTTATCGATTTCGGACACTCGAAATTATTCCGAAACGTATTACAAGTTCATACAAAATTAATAAACAAGTATATATAATTCACTTTGGTATCAGCTACGTGAAATTGTATTGATAATAACAATTAAGTGTACACTTCCAAACACAATAAAACGATAAATTCTATTTTTTTAAGTTAATTTCGGTTTTATTATTAAATGTGGCCTCGTTTTTACGCGTTATGAAGTATATCCTTTGTTAGAATTCGTTACACGTCCAGTTGCTTCATCATGTAATGGAAAAAGCCGAGGATCGAGAAGCTGAAGCCTAATGGTATCGATGTCGCTTTTATCCAAGCCCAGATGCTGCAAGTTGTCAAAAATATTTATTTTTACACAGTCATAATAAATAAACGTCCACATCTTTTCAATATTTAATTACAACCCCCTTTACATATCTACTATTTACAATCAATCATTCATTGTGCAAAAATGAAGTCATAAAATAAATAAATAAACGTCCACATCTTTTCAATATTTAATTACAACCCCCTTTGCAGATCTACTATTTACAATCAATCATTCATGTTGCAAAAATGAAGTGATAAAATAAATAAATAAACGTCCATATCTTTTCAATATTTAATTACAACCCCTTTTACATATCTACTATTTACAATCAATCATTCATGGTGCAAAAATGAAGTGGCAAAATAAATAAATAATGTGATACATTGTTAGACATTACAGTGTATAATAACTATAAATATTTAACTATTATTAAACATTTAATAAAAATATTTAATCAAAGTAAAAAAGAGTAACAGCTTCAACTAAAAAAGAGTAACTTCAACTAAAAATGCTTTAGAACGCACGCGTAAAGACAGCAACCTATCTACAAATTTCCGATAAAATTTCATTCACTTACTTATACACATTATCGTCCACTTGGTAAGGTGAAGGTGTCGGAATGTAACCGCACTCGTAGATAACAACTGGCTTAATCGGCACATCGTCCGCATCAGTTCGAGTTTGTTCGATCTTGAAAACAACATCTTGACCGTCAACAACCTGAACAAACAACCTTATTATCCACACCGAAATATTTCAAATTATGCTTTAATGCTAAAAAGTTATGCTACCTTTCCAAAGACCGTGTGTTTACCGTCTAGCCATGGTGTGCTTACGGTAGTGATGAAAAATTGGCAACCATTTGAATCCTTTCCAGCGTTCGCCATGCTGACGTACATGGGACCGTTGTGTCCGATTTCGAAATTCTCGTCTTCGAAGTATTTGCCGTAGATACTGATCGATCCGGTACCATCATCGTTTTCTATATCGCCACCTGGAAATCATTATTCTTTGTTGTTATATACATTACGTATGTTTACTGTAATTTAAGACTTTCGTTGCAGCATTGATACTATGATTCAAGCATTGATAGAATTTCCTCCAAAATTGGTACAAAATTGGTTTCAATGATTCAGTCACTGTAAGTGTGATTGATTCATTCGTTGGTATCGAATCGATTGATAGATTATCGTATGCAACGTCAATTATATTTCTCAATATTGTTAAAAAACTAAAAGAAGAAAGAATTGAAGAAATCTTTACATTGCATAAACATTAGTACTACTTGTACATGAGTGAACTTATCAATTGTTAGTACTATATTTATTTCTGCTATACCGGTATCATAAAATTGTGATATAATTGTACTGTATTAAGGAAAGAATCTTGAAACCTTTGAAAACTTTGAAAACTTTGAAAATTTTGTATAAGAAGAATTCATAGTAAAGTTGACATAATTATACAAAATTCATATGAAGTATATTTTGACATAATTAAACAAAATTCATATGAAGTATATTTTAAAATAATTAGACAAAATTCATGTGTAGTGTATTTTGATAAAAATGTAATTGAAAGATAGTTATAAAATTTGATATAGACCACCAATATGGTTACGTAAGGTAAATGGTCACTGCACACAGTCATTTTCACTATTCAACGCATTAATCATATATAGTTTGATTACCTTGGACCATGAACTTCTTAATCACACGATGGAACCTGCTGCCTTTGTACGTTTTCCCTGCCACTCCAGTTGTCGATAAAGTGATGAAATTCTGCACGGTTTTCGGCGCAATGTCACCGAATAAACCAATTACTATTCGACCTGCTGGACGATCGTCTATCGTGACGTCTAAGTAGACTTGCTCGGTGACTGTCAGATTATTATTCTATAAAAGAAATGTGGCAAACTTAAAGTAATTTAGGACCTTGAAAATTAGAAGCTTGAAAATTTGGGGAATGTAAAAATTCGAAACTTGAAGTACGAAATTTAGAATCCTTGAAAACCCAAAAATTTGCAAACTTGAAAAATTTGAAAGTTGGAAAATTCTGAAATCATAAAAATGATTTTGAAAATCATGTATATGAGATTTTCACATCTAATTTGAGATTTTCACTGAAAATGTAATTTAATAATTTTCACGTATGTGTAAGTGTACGTATAACCTTATCTAAATGAAGCCTAGTTGCACGCGAGTGTACGGCGCGTAATAAACGAAGGAAGCCTTACTAACTATAAACCACGACCGACATTTCGATTCTTTTAAATTGTCTAGTAATTCAATTTAATGTGGCAATGTGCTATCCCAGTTTCATCAGATACAATTGCTTTCAATTCACAGAAAATGTGTTTTCTTCCCGACACCGCGCTTTCACTACACTTTTATTTCTCATTGTTACTTCTTCTACCAATTTCTAAACTCTTTCATTAGATCATTCTTTCATTATATTACACTTTTCAAATTCTTGAAAATTCTTAAAAATTGTTGATCTCGTATGTCCTTCACCTAACGAACTCTTCCAAATTCTTCGATGTACCCAAGTTAACGGTATGCAGAAAAACGCAAACGATAAACAGGAAACGGTACCTCCAAAGTTGCAGCCACCGCCACCAAACAGGCTGTCGCAAACAGGATCTTCATGATTTTACGATTCGGTAGCGAATGCCCCAACTTTTCGAGCAGCTTCATTGAACCTGTGTCGAACGACGTCCATCAAATGCGATCAGAAGCACCGCGCGGAAACCAAATGAACGCTTGGAACGCTTGCGCGGAACGGGCTCTTTCGAAACGTTTTGCCGCTATTCTCAATTTTATTAACAGTTTCTGTCAAATGCTCTTAATTAGCTTTTGGCGGGTGACGAGATTCGGTGGGACATTGCGAAAGAATTTACTTATATTTTTTATTTAATATTACCTTAAAAAAAAGTTATTGCAATTTGTTTCGTTATGTTGTTTTAGATGTTTGAATGAAACTATGTATTATATTCTTCATAATATTTATTGTGTTTCGTATGAAAAAGCTAAAAATGTTTTTTATTAGAAGCTGTTAAAACTGAAATATTATATTTGTTCAAGTTCTGCATGTTATAATTTATGTAACATTGTGTTTTAAATTAAAGACATGTGTCAAAACTACACAACCTAACTACACATCAAGTTATCTTAATGAAATAAGAGGTGCAAATATGTTTGCTTCATTCAGACACCATGTATTATAATTTGCATTTATTGTATTTTGAATTAAAAAAGATATGTCAGAATTTTAAAAGTTTATAAGTTTCTAGGGTTACAAAGTCTTGAAATTTTAATGTTGAAGTGCTTCAAATGTCAGAATCTTAATTTTCAGAAGGTGCAACTTTTCAAAGTTCCAATGTCTTAAAAACTGAATGTTCGAAAATTAAGAAATTTTCAGTCTTAACATTGCAAGATATCAAGCTTCCAAAATTCTACAGTCTCCAATTGTTCAAATCTGAGAGCTTCAAACTTCTGAAGTTCTAAAATTTCAAAATCTCAACTTCCTAAACAATCAACCTTGCAAACTTCCACAGTCCTAAAGTCTAAAAATATCAAAACTGCAAAATGACAGAATTTCGACGTTCCAAAACGTCCAAGTCCCAAGATATCAAGATTTCAATATGAGAGCTGGAAACTTCTAAAGGTCTGAAACTTCAAAATTCCAAATTCCGGAGCAACCTTGCAAACTCCCACGCTTCAAAGTCTAAAAATCTCAAAACTGCAAAGTCTAAAAATTCCAAAATGTCCAAGTTCCGAAATAACAAGTTCCAAAAATATAAAAATTCCAAGATCCCAAAGATGGGATCCCCTGAAAATCCCAAGATCTCCCTATCTTAAACATCCAAAATCAGCTCACACCCCAATAGAACCACCCCGTTACACAGACAATTCCTCAAGATAAATCCGCACTAAAAATTCTGGCACCCAAATCAAACGATCGTTAGTTGAAAAATCCCAGTAGCTCGAACTCGCTCCAAAGAGGTACCAAGACTCGCTCGTTAGGTACCGTTATTCCCGATCGTCGACCGGGTCGAATACTATAAAAGGTGGGACCATCGACGGTCCAAGGATAGTTGTTCGCGATGGAGAAGAGCAGCAGGTCGCGTGGTGCGCGTTTCACGGCGATTGTGTTTCTTCTGACCGCTGTTCTCGTCGCTCAGGCAGCTGTGATCGATCGACAGAGACGAGAATTCGTGATACCCGACTGGATCGAGATCGTCGACGAACCTGTTGCCGAGAACTCGAAGACCGTCCAAAGAGCGGTTAGGGTTAGGGACGCCAAAGTGAATTACGATGGAGCGCAAGTGTGGAGGGTTCAAGCTCCTGATGGTCAGAAGGACTTGGCTACTAATGTCACGACGGACTTACAGGAACATGGATGTTCGTATATTTTTTTATTTTTTATACTTTCATTTCCAATGTCCACGTTTTCTATTTTTCAACTTTTTTATTTTTTATACTTTCACTTCTGATATTTTCAATTCTAATGTCCACATTTTCTTATTTTGTAAAATAGTACGTTCTTCAAATTTTTGGATATGTGGTCATTTAGATTTACTAATTGTTAGGTTACTGAATCAGTGTTATTGAAGTATGTTGTCAAATTTTGTGGTGGAGATATATTGGAATTTTCACATTTCAATTTTTTCTAAATTCCAAGGCGTTCAAATTTATAGATCTCGAAAGTGATGAATTTTGATAGCTTCACAAATCTCTCAAGTTTCAAAATCTTAGGTTTTCAAAGTTTTTATCTTCAAGTTCTGTGATTGCAATATGTCTTGATTTCCAAATATCAAAATTTGCAAATTGCTAGGTCAAGCTTCACATCTCCAAATCTCTCGACATCCAAATTTCTAGATACCAAGACCTTAGATATTGACATATGTACTTCTTCAAATTACAAGGACCTCAAATTCATAAATTCCAATACTTCCAGATCCGTAAATTTCTAGATTCCCAAATTTCTGGACCGAATCTTATATATTCTCATATCCAAATCTTCAAATCTTGAGGTCATCAATTACTTAAACACAATGTTATTTTCAAATTTGTAGCTTTCTCAAATCACTTAGTCTCTACTTTCCTGTCTTCCCAAATTTTCAGACCTTCAAAAATTTCTCAAAATAAACAAATAATTCCTAACCGTCTTTTCTTGGTTTCCATATTATTCCCTGCAGATCCAGATTTCCTTAATAAATCTTCTTAGGTATCTCTTTCTAATAATATTCAAATAATTTAATATTTTTGATTATTGAAGGTAATATTTGATCACCAAAGATTGCAATTACAATTTCGATTAATCATAAGTCCAAAATTTTCATTCAGTATGATTCATTCAATCTTCATTCATATCTCGTGGGTTATCATCCTCCTCTAATCTCGATATCTAAATTAACGAATCAGCGGACTAACTAAAACTTGCTTTCCGATACAGTGCTGACGTTATGGGTCGGCAACGAAATGGGAATGGACGTGCTGATCCGTGCAGAGGAAGTCCCAAGAGTAGCTCGTTACTTGAAACAGAAAGATCTAGAGTACCACGTGGTGATCGAGGACGTACAGAAAGCGATAGACGAAGAAAATCCGGCGCTTTCCGAAGAGGAAATGGAGGAACTGGAAGGTCGCAAAGGTTTGCAGAATCCGCCTTTTTCCTTATACATCAATTTACATACTGTTTACCTCAAGTACATTTAGCTCGATCTATTTGCTTTTTATTCTTGCGCTTATTTGGCTTCACGTTTCATGTGTTCCTACTATTATAAAATTGCAATATGATGATTTCGAGTTATATTGTTCGTGAGAACGTTGAGAACGTTTAGTGAGAACCGTCAGTGAAAAGATGTTTCACTTGTCATTTTACCCGTTCCACTGACACAAATGGCGGATAACTTGTTTAATCGATGCTTTACGGTCTAAGCACGTAGCGAAGAAAGCCGACGACAAACGCTACACGTGCGAATTCGAAAGTGATTATCACAATTGACGGTCATCTTGATCATTAGACATTCAATACAATGTTACGGTTCACTCGGAAATATCTGTTCGCTCTAGAAATACATCTTCTTCGAGAAGAACTTGCTCAATTTATTAAATAACATATTTAATTTATTCAACATTAATATTTCTGACGATAGCCTCCATAAATGACAATTTTTTCAATAACAGAATCTGCAACTAAATCATCAAGCATTTTAAATCACTCTTACAAACATCAAATATAATCATTCGCTAAAATATGTGGTCTTCTATTAAGAAAACTAATCGTCGTTAAAGTATGTACATACCGTAATTTTCCCCATGGAATTCCGCGTGTTAACGACATTATAATGTCCAGCCCTAACCCGCCAAATCCTGCGATTGTCCGATTCACAGCGATCCTCAGAATCGTTAGCTGCTGGCTATTTTCGATGGAAAGGTACGATCGTATAAACCGAGGTTACCGTCCTCGCCGTGAGCCAACCTGCTAACCCAGTTCCAGTTCATCGACAATACCGATTAACATTAACAGTTATATCTGCTAGTCGTGTGTGCGGTGGTGTGCGTGCATCTGCAACACTCCTCGTTTTCACGAACAACGTTGTTTCGATCCCGTTAACTCGTTTCCAGCAAACTGTCGAGTAGCTGGCAATCGGCCCAACTTGAAAGTCAGTCGAGAAATCGGGATGTCCACATCGGAATCATAAATAAAAACCGATCATCGATACACTAAGAGCATCATTGTCATTCTTGAAGCGTGCGTCGTCGGTGTGCAGGAAAACTCGTGCTCATTAGTTATCGTCGAAAGTTAATTAGTGCAGAACTTTCTCTTTCTAATCGTTTGAAGACGCTTTGGTAATGTGTACAGTAATTGTGTACTTTGGGTATAGTAGGCACTTATTAGGGACTGATTGGGAGGGAAGTATTAATGGAAATAATAAATATGTTGAATATAGTGCTGAGGAATATAAAATGCAGAGATATACATATAACACGTAGGGACATGACAGTACAACACGTGGTAGTATGGCACGTGACAGTAGGACACATGGTACTACGTCACGTGAGAGCAAGCACATGATACTACGACTTGTGGGAGTATAAACAATGTAGTATCATGCGTGGTATTACGATGTGTGATATTTTGGTACGAGGCAGTATTATGTGTAGTATTGCAACGCGTGGTAATATGATATGTGACGGTACAACTCGTGAGAGTACAGTGCGTGGTAATTTAATATGTGACGGTACAAACGCAAGGTAGTATCACGTGTGGTAATATGGCTTGTGAGAGTACAGTGCGTGGAATTACGATGCGTAGTAATTCGATACGTGGTAATAGGTCGCGTGGTAGTACTACGCGTGGTAATTCGACTCGTGGCAGTACTACGCGTGGTAATTCGACGCATGGTAATTCGACACGTGGTAGTACTACGCGTGGTAATTCGA